TAAAAATAATGAATAAAAAATTATATTTTTAAATTTTCAACATTAACAGAGGTATGGATTTATATATTTTTTTTTTTAAGATAAAATAGTATTATAGTATTAATAATAGGAGTTTTTTCAAAGTCTAAAGTCGATTTATTAGCTTTCATAACCTAAATTTTCTTTCTATATAAATATAATGATTTTTTGCGAATTTTATAAATACATTTTTTAAAATAAATGAATATCTAATCTAATATCACATTTTATTCTCATATATCAAATAGAGATTTCCATTCAAAAATTTTAAATTAACGAAAATTAACAAAAAATTACTTTTTTAAATTTCCATCATTAAATATGAAAAAAAAATTTCAAACAAAAAAAAAGTTACAATAAAATTGTTCTTAAAATCATATCAAATTAATAGAGGTTTCATTTAGTCACATAAAGTTATAAGTTATAATTATCCGAAAGCATAGCTAGGGGACTCACAACTTGTCATTACGCATCGTAAAAACATAAAATCATAAATTTTTACACTTCATTAAAAATTTGTTTGATGGTTTATATGAAACCCCTAAACGTTGAGAATTGTAATTATGCAAACTCATTTTTGTGTGTAATCCAACAACAATTTTTTAAACAATTGTAAACATTTATAATTTTATAACTTTACGATGCTTTATGTTTATGTAAATGTTTTTCATAAACCGAAATTTCGAAAATTAATTAAATATTTTCTCACCTACAGCCTCAAAATAACTCAACCGAATTGCGGTTAATTTGAATAAAAAGGAATTGATAATCGCTACATACACATAACGAAATATTTATAATAACTTTTTGAAGATTTTCTCCCATATTGCATGGTACTTTGGGTTTTTTGCGAAATATGTTTGCATGTACTCAGAAATAATTAAATAAATGGCATTAATCATTTGATTAACGATCAGTTAATGTCATTTGCTTTCCCCCATGAAAATGGACTTGAAAGAAGCTCATTTCGCTATCTTTTAACATTTAAGTGCACGTCAATTGTTTTATAATCTTTCGTTCGATTTATTTGTGATTGATTTGAGTATTTCAAGGAAATTTTAATTATGTACGTAATATTTAGCATTTTGCCCACAAAATTTATGACACTGTAAAGTGCAGTTAGCTTTGCTCATTACAAAATCTGTCAACGTATGTGTGTGTGTGTGTGTGCACATCTTTATGGGTATAAATGTCATGCCATGGGATGACAATAACAAAAAAAAAAACACATAAGAAATTATCCATAAATATTTAACAGTTGTAAAGTGAATGACGGGAATTATTTGAAAAGCACTAAAGCTAGTGTTTACTGCACTTCGCATTTTCAATTTCTCGTAAATTACAGTTGGATATTTTTACACACACACCATACATACATTTATACTAATTATGATTACAAAGTTTTCTTAACATTATTGTATTTTTAGATTTATTGCAGCTCAGGCTATTTAATATTTTCCGTAAATCCCCGAATGCGCGTTGGCGAAAACACTTCCACGCCCAGCTAACGCATTATGTGATCAATTCATATACAATACTCGTACATATATATGTGTATGTAGGTATGTAAACATATGTTTGTTTTTGCAGCTGATTTAGCACTCATATACCAATTACATAATCAAATATTAGCTATTAGCCTAATAACGTTGTCTAAGGTTATTGCTGAAAGGCGCAGAAATTAGCAAAGTAATAGTTATGAAAATAGTAGTAATTAATTGTATTCGTTTATGTTTAGCTTGTAATTCTCAAATCGTTTAAGRCACATTTAATTGCGCTTTTATTTCTTTTAGAAGATTTTATTATTAAATCACCGACAATCAACGCAATTAAAAAACGTAACAAATATTCTATTAAAATAAAAACAGCCGACTTACCCTTGACATCAGGCGATCAGCGCCGGTGCCTTCATCATCCTTAAATATAATATCGCTATTGTAGTTCGGCACTAAGTCTTTAAATTTCGGTGAATTTTTCTTAATGGGGCCCTCGTTGAGACCGGAAGCGCCCAACGTGCGCTCGGACATATTMGGAACGTGCTGCTTGAAAACCAGCGGCGTCAATTTGCGATATTTACGCGGCCCACCAATACCTCGACCCGGACCACAACCCTCCGCAGCGGTGAAAAGCGTACAGATTAGCAGCACAGCGCATAGGCGACGCAATGTCAGGCGGCGGCTTCGCGCAATGTTGCCAACATCAATAATTGGTGCGTTGTCTTCTGTTTTGTGGGCGCTGTTGTCCTGAGCACCGGCGGAAACTGGCAGCTCCGTTGCGGTAATTGACAGCCTTATATGAAGCGCACCGGGTGCGGGAGGTGCGCCCAGCGGTTGTTGTATGGTGTTGTTGTTGTTGTTCGACATGATTTGTTTAGTTGCGCGACTGCGCTTCTTACGTTCCGGTAGTTTTTTGCAAATTTTACAACACTTTGTGTCAGTGTTGGGCCCTTGCAGGCGCTGCCCAATATTATAATCGGAATATGGCATGAGAGCGGGTTCAAACATTTTTATTTTATGAAATATTTTTATTATTATTGTTTTATAATGTTGAGTTTTCTTTCAACTACGTTTTATTTAAATTTTTTTTTTCAAAATTACAAATTTTGTTTTTTGCAAAAATATTTATTGAGATTTAACATATTCTTTCATAACACCAAAACATACGGTATATTCGCATGCGCATAAATTGTCACAATTTTGTTCGCAATAAAAAAAAAAACAATTTTCAAAAATTTTGCAAAATAATTTTAGTTTGATTTATTATTATTATTTTTTTCAACGCGCGAAATTTTGCACTTTTTTCTCATCTCGTGGTCGAATTATCAATGAATTTGGCACGTTTTTTTTTATAAGCGAACTGTTGGCCGGCTTATACGCATGCACGTTTATTTATTTTGTCCACTAATTAGCTGCAATTTGTGACTTTTACACTTTCGCATGGACCGTGTGCACGATTGCGACTAACAAACCTTCGCAATTGTGCTATTAACTTCAACTGTGGCCGGTACTCGCAAACTGATTAACAAATGACATTTCGCCGCTGTATCGACGAAGTTTCTGTGTACTGCAAATCAGCCGATGGACGTCGTCGCTGCCGATGCCGCCGATAGCGCCGTTACTGTGGCTGCTGCCGTTCGCATGCCTACTTTCCTTCGTACTTATCGTGTTCATCCCGGCAGCGTTCACTAAGCGCCCAACACCCACCAACACATGCGCAAGCGAGCAGCACCTTCACCCACACACACACACACACACCTCGAGCTGACTCGAAAGAAATTCATTTTCATATTCGAGCGCTGCGCATTCACTGATAAACCGAAGAACGAAACGGCGCGCGCAAGCCGGTAACCGAAACACACATCTACGTAATGAACACTGAGCCTAAGCGAACACACACACGCATTCAAACGTGTTGGTGTAACGAGCGCTGCAAGTGTTGGTGGTTAAGTGCGTAGCGCAGTGTGCAAGGCATGCATGCTGTCATGGACGACAAATACACACACAAAAGTGCAGAACACACACAGGCACGCAASAGGGCTCCCACACATACACATACTTCTAATTCGGTTTGGCCGCGCCGTCTCATTGGACTCTTTGCTTTGCCTTTTGGCTGCGTGTTCATCAGCGCGCATTGTTGTTGTAAAAGTTTTCGGCCATCAGCAAATCGGCTTGTTGTATGGCCTACGTAGCGCATGCGCGTAAAAGAGACGGGTAGTGTGTCTACAGAAGAAGCTCAAACACACTGCCAAACATGCGAATAACGAAGGCAACCAATTGGCACTCACACACTTGCGTTTGCTTACACAAATGCCAAAGCAGAAATTTATAAGTGTTTGTAGCTGGTGGGTGAGTGTGTGTGTGGGCATTTAACTTGTATATAAGAGGCTAGTGAAATTGGTCCAGCGTCGTCATCTGTGAAATGAAGCAAAGTCAAGCAGGCAGGCTGCCTTTAAGCCCAATTGGTGTTGTAGCGCTTTGGTTTGGATTTTTTTCACCTGCCTGGACCGTGCGCCGGCTTCTTACAAATGTTAATGAATTTTAATGAAAACTATTTCAATGTTACTCGCAACGCAGATAGACGAGGTTCCGCGTAAAGTATTTATTAATGGTTTTTGGTGAAAAAAAAAAAAAAAAGACACATTTAAAATTTTAGGGTTGCCATTGAGAGCAAATTAAAACTATATACTCACTTACATATGTACATATACATAAGTAAATAATTTGTGTACAAAAATCTTGTATGTTTATTTATACATACATATGTATGTATTTTTAATTACTTATTTTATATGTATTATAATAAATAAGCATATTTATATTATTTGTTGAATATTTTGCGACTTCCAATGTTGTCGTGAAAATTGTATAGGTTATGTTAGACACTCTCGTGGCATTCATTCATTCATTCTAATGGAGGTTCATCACTAACACTACGCAGGAGTTGGATACCCTAGGGCATTAAAGGACGTCTCCCCAACTAATGTAAAGCCTTGGCTCCACTTTCACTATTTCTTACGAAGAAATCTAGCTGCCATAACGCAAACTGAAGAACCTTTGAATCGCTGGACATAAAATTCTACAATAGACACTCCAGATCTTGTTAAATTATTTTGTTATCTGTCTATGAATACCCTAGCTTTAGTAGCTAAATGAACTGAAAAATACTTCCATAGTTTGTAGGGGTTACTATATTCTAAGTTCTGGTAAGCGTCTGACTACCCCTTGTAATAAAAAAATGTTTTATATTTTGTGTTACAATTTTCAAAAAACAGCCAAATCTTCAGAAATTTCATATTAAAACTCAACGTCTTATCAACTTCTTCTTCTTACGCGTAGACACTATATACATACATACGAGTCCTATTAATAGTAGTCTCTTCGAAGCCACAAAATTTCGAAAAACTTCTTAGTAAAATCAAGTGGGATATAACTTTTTACTTAAGCCCAGATATCTGGGTTTTGTTCTTGAAATGTAAAACGATTTTGAGTTCAATGTCAATTAAAGGCTATTCTGGTATAGGTCCCTAAATTTAAGGCATTTTTCAAACTATGATGAAAAAAATTAAAACAATTTTATTGTCTACTTTTTTCAATTGATTTTAATTAAAATTTTTGAACAAAAAATTAAAAAAAAGATCGGAAAAATATTCGGCGAATTGGGGTTACCAGAGAAGAAAATTCGCAAAATGTCGTAGCCTTGGAAAATAATTTTTTTACTCCCTTTTTCGATCTTTTCGCATTTTTAAAAATAAAGAAATCGGTTACATAGAACTTGAGATGTTATGTCAACCACCTCAAAAAAGAAGTTTCGAAAAAAATACATTTAAAGTTTTACGTTAACGTTAACCGGTCAAGTTGCCACGACCCACGACACACTAAAATAGTTATAACTTCGGAAATGATTTGAATTTTGAACATTGCATTTTAGGGTTATATTTTTACATATCTAAATTATGGAAATATGAAACAAAATTTCAATTTTTTACGACTTAAGATGTGTGGATTTGTTCTTGCTTGAGTTAAAACAATTAATTAACATATATTTTACTCCCATACAAGTCCTTTTCCAATCAAGATGTTGATTATGAAATTAAGAAAATATATCTCGAGCAAATATTCTTTCGAAACAGGTACCAAATATTTTGAAGAGTTTGTGGCGCTTTGGAATCCAGCGCTCGTTGCGATGCCAGAAATCAGTCAATAAATTTCGAATACTACGTAAACACGGTTAAAATTTAATTTATTCGAAAATTTTTAGAAAACCAATTTTTTTCATATATGAAAATGTGAAATTTTCTTCGAAAGTTAAAAGTGAAACTGGTAAATAATTTCCGAGATATGAAGGTTTTTACACGAAATTTTACGTTAGCTTAATCTTCTCCCATTTAGTGAGAAAAAGTTCTCTGAAGGCTTAGTCCAATCATCTTGAGATTTTCACACCACCTTTTAAGATATATTTGTCAGGTAATGATCGTAGGAATAAAATTTTTGAATATGAAGTTTATTTTTTTCACAAGAAACACCTTGTTTTGTTAAGCGGTTATATACCGTTAGAAGGGCGAAAAAAAGCGAAATTTCTAATTTTTTTCTGAGCAAATTTTTTAATTTATTGTAACTTAAATTAKTATTAGTAAAAATATTTATTTGGAAAGGAACTACACCTAATCTCCAGGAGCCCCTCTCAAAAAAGACCTTTGTGATGGCCATGATATTTCTGAACTGGTTCCTCTGAAATTAGAAAATCTAAATATTAAATGTATGTACGGATGTTGTTTCCAAAAAAATATTTATCGGTGAGAAAAAATCTTCAAAGAAATACTAAAAAATATATTTAAGAATTTGAAACTAATCGGATATTTGGAGATTCTGAGAATTATTATTATTTAACGGTTATATTCAGAGCCCATATATTGACATTGATATATCATGATGGGATTTATGTGTGTTAAAAGTATGTTTTTATTATAACAAAACAAACAAAAAAGAATGAAAATTTAAAATGGAAATCATAATTAGCCACTTTGCCATCATTGCAAGCTGCATTCTTCTGAAGACTCTGTAGTGTGTGCAGCAGTTGCACGTCCACCTTCGCCGTGATTACTACCACATACGCAGCACGACAACCACCATAACTGCCACGCATACACACGCATACACAACACTTAAATTGCCATCGATCGGACGATCAATGCAGTAAAATGGAAAAATATGTAAGTGTGTGTTGTTGTAGTTGATGACGGTGATGCGCCAGGCTTTGAGTGTTCCTGCCCATTTGCTTGTGTTGACGCTACCGTTGTGTCTGTAACTGTGTCTGTTACTATGTGTCGAGGTGGGTGTGTGTATGTGTGTATCCATTCGTGGCCAAGTGTTGGAGTGAAGGGGCGGAGCTGCTGTAGGAACATATTTGTGAATGGAAATAAGAATGAATTCACATGAGAGCCAACATAATAAGCAGCAAAGAAAGAAAAACCGAAAAAAGCAACGCACACACACACACTCGCGCCACTGCAATAAAAATGAAAATAAATTAAAAACGAACGGCAACAAGGTACCGTGAGAGCAGCATGGAGGCCGCAGTTAAAATCACATTCGATGCCACGAAACTTTATACGAGCCGAAGATAAATGGAAGCGCGTATGCTATAGACGTTTGTTGGGGCTGCTGTTGTTGCACTTTTTGTTGGCTCGCTTTTGTTGATACTGGCGGCATGCTGTAAGAGTCCACATCTCAGTACATATACAATACATATGTATGTGTGTAGTTGGTATTTTGGGCTCCTGCCGCTCCACTTTGTGTTTGTGGTTAATGCTCAGCACCTCAAAGTATCTACGAAAATATTTTATGTTCGCATGCTCGCTGTGGCATGAGGAGTGAACCATTTTAATTTAACATTGCCGCAATGACGTTGGCTTATATATTGTTACAGCTATTGTTAGCATATTGCTTGATTGTATGTACATACACATGTGTATGTATGTAATTGTGATTGCATGTGTGCGCGTCTAGTAGTTAATGCCATTGTTATCTTAACCTGTTGTCATTATATTCCTGTTTTCGCTGGATGACGCAAATAAGGCAAAGTCGCTGTAACGCCAGCAAATGTTCCGGAAAATTGAGACAATTATTTCATTTGCACAATTACCTATAAGAAAAAACATAAATGCATTATCTAAAAAGAGATAAGCAAATTATTATAAATTAAATTAAATAAAAATAGCTTTTCAAATCAATTTTTTTACCCCGAACAGGGTATATTAAGTTTGCCACGTAGTTTGTAACGCTTAGAAGAAACTATCGGAAAACCTATAAAATATGTATAAACGGTCAGCAGGATGAACAGAATCGCTTAAGCCATGTCCGTCCTTTCTCAGTATATACGCGAACTAGTTTCTCATATTTTGAGCTCTGTATATTGACCTGAAATTTTGCATATGTTCTTTTCTCACAAAGAAGCTGCCCATTTGTCAGCATCATCCATATTGGACCCTAACAGAATATAGCTGTCATTAGAAACTAAA